CTCCATCTCCATCTCCATCACTGTCTCTACCTCCATCTCCGTCTCTGTCTCCATCTCCACCTCCATCTCCACCTCCACCTCCACCTCCATCACCATCACTGTCTCCACCTCCATCTCCATCTCCATCACTGTCTCCACCTCCATCACCATCTCCACCTCCGTCACCATCTCCACCTCCATCTCCATCTCCATCTCCACCTCCACCTCCACCTCCACCTCCACCTCCACCTCCATCTCCATCACTGTCTCCACCTCCATCTCCGTCTCCGTCTCCATCTCCGTCTCCGTCTCCATCTCCATCTCCACCTCCATCTTGGTCTCCATCTCCACCTCCATCTCCACCTCCATCTCCATCACTGTCTCCGTCTCCGTCTCCATCACAATCTCTACTAGCTTCACTCCTTTTTCTTGGAAACTCCTCTGCACCTCCCCCCAGCCAACCACTGTCATCTCTATCATCAGCAGCATCTCCATCTCCACCACCACCGCTCCTCTCACCTTCCTGATGTTTTAATCACCACCAAGAGCATAGTTACTCCGCCCACCTCTACCTCTGCCCATTTTAATCAATCCACCCTCTCTACCCAGAACACAAAACACTGCTATGTAGGTGGATCCTTCAAATTCTTTCCATTTGCCCAACCCCAGAAAGGCCAACTATGGTCTCTGTGTTCCTGACTTTTTCCTTTGAGACTTCTCGTGGAAGATGAAATGAAATGCCTTGCTCTTTAAATTAAGGAAGATTATGTGTCTCTTGCCATTCCTGATTTACCAGGCCCATCATTCTGTCTTAGAAGGAAATTGGATTACTCTGACAGAATGTGTTCTTTGGAAGACAGTGCTGGTTATTACCTAATTCCTTATGACCTAGTGTTTGCAGATTGATTTTTTGAAGATGTGTCCCAGTAGTTTTCTATTATAGCAGCTCAGTTGATAGGTCCAGCACTTTTAGAGGCATCTGCTTTCTTCCGGGTTTAAAAAGAGGCAGGGACAGCCTCTCTCATCTCCAAGCCCCGTACCAATTCTCCATAAATCCCCTTGGAGTGAGAGCTAGTGATTTGACTCCAGCTTGGGCCAATTCCTTAAGTACCTAAGCATGTAAGTCATCAGGGCCTGTGGATGTGCATACACAAGTTCTTTCCTTATGCTCTTGGCTTTCTGCCCTCCCATGATTCCACATGGTGCTTCTTTCAGATCACAGCTGACCTTTTTAGGCTAAGAAAAAATTAAAAGCCTCTGCTTTTTAGTGGCATTGCCTTATAGATGTTCTCTGTGCCCTAGCTAGAAATAAGCCAACAATCTCCTTATGCCCCTTTCTTTGGCCTGTTATAGTCAGAAAGTGTTTTTCTCATTCTTTTGCTGCCTGTGCAAGTTAGATCTCATTTCTTTTTCTGAAGGACTCTTCTGATTTTATCTCCACAGCCTTTTGTTATTTCTTTGTATGTAACCCTCCTTCATAACCTGGCCTGATTTCCACTTTCTTTGGCATGTCCATTATCATTTTGGTTCCCTGGGAAGCTTTCTGCATAACTAACAAGGAATTTTGGGGTTCCTTTAGGTTGCTTTTTCATTCTCTGCTTGTTTTGCTGCCTTAGATGGAAATGCCCAGTTC